GCCAGAGCCTGTAGCTTGGGTGAAGTCTGATGGCCACAACCACAAATACAGATATGGGTGGCCTGTGCTACCACCTAGGGCCAGGGTGTCATCCAGGCCGGGCTGCTGCTGAGGACTATGTCTGGGTTCATGGCCCAGGGTCCAGACTGACATATATGGCTCTAGTTGTCACCAAGTGCCATTTAGCAGCCCAGGGTCCAACCAGATTGGAATCAGAGGACCAGGATGAATCCAAATCTGACTGGTGCTACTACTCAATGACATGGCAATGTCTGGGCCAGAGCTGCAGCTGGAGGCCATGTTGGGGTCCATGGTTCACTGCAGGGGTTTGACCTGAAGTCCGGGTGCTGCATTGCCAGTAATGGTCACATAGTGGCCCAGGGTTGGGGTTGCAACCTGAGGCCTTGGTGGTGTCCAGAGGTCACATGACTGCCAGAACCATTCCCACCTGAGTGGTGGTTCCTTCCACTCAGAGCTAGGACATCACCTGGGCATAAGGTGCTGCCAAGGGCCATGCCTTGGTCCATGGTCCAGCTACAGCTGGGGTCTGTGCTGATGTCTGTGGCCAGTGTCACCTCAGTAGGCCTTAGGAACCATTCGAAATGAAATCAAAGGGCTATATTGAGCTGGCCACACCCTTCACTGCCCTGGGAAAGCTGGCCTTGCCTCCTGCTGGCCACTATAGCAAGACAGCTGGCCCCTGCACTTGGGAGTGAGAACCCACTCCATCCACCACAGGTGAGGATGAATTTACCCTGAGGACACACATGTAGGGGAATCTACTCCACCCCTGCACCTGAGGCGGATGGCCCCAGTGACTAGCTCTAACCTGCCTGGCTAACACCCAGGCCCGCAACTGGGCCTTGGGTTGACCCACTCTAGCATCAACCCCAGCTAGGTCCTCTGTAGCTCGTAAAAGCACTGGTCCTGCAGAACCATACACACAAGATCTCCAAAACTCAGGGAGGCCACAGGATACCCCACAAAAGCTCTAGTAAGGCTCCAGTGATGATAGTGTACCAAAAATCAGAACCAGACCAGTGAATCATAGCAATGAACATTTGCCAGTCAAGCTGATGGGACAAAGGGGTACACTATATGGCATACCAAAGCCCTCCAATGCCATCAGGATGGATGAAGAGATGATGGAGAGGCAGGAGAGAAGGAGAAGCAAAGAATTTTCTGTTCCTGGTGTGGTTTTTGTTCTCTTTTGGTTTATTGAGGGTTTTTGTTCTTGCTTTTGTTTGCTTGCTTACTTTGTTTTGTTTTCTTTTGGGGGGCTCAGCAAGGATGAGGGGGATTTGGGGGACCAGGAGGTGAACAGAATTAGGGTGCATGATGTAAAAACCCCAAAGATTTAATAAAGATGTTTAAAAAAAAAATAAAAGACAGAGGACAGAAGGTTCAGGAAGTACAGTCTGAGAGCGTTAAAAAAAGGGGGGGCAAACTAGAAGTCATATGGTAATTTGACAACCTAGAAAATTGCAATAAGATTTCATTGAATGACAGCTGGGTGGTGGTGGTGCACACCTTTAATTCCAGCACTCAGGAGGCAGGGGCAGCAGGATCTCTGTGAGTTTGAGGCCAACCTGGTCTACAGAGTGAGTTCCAGGACAGCCAGCAGGACTGTTTCACAGTCTTGGAAACAAAAACAAACAAACAAAAAGATTTTATTAATGTCTGCAAAGAATTAAAAATACACATGATTGAAGAAATGGCTCAGTGGGTAAGAGTTTCTGCTGTGTAAGCATGAAGACTTCAGTTCAAATCCCCAGCACCCAAAGAAGAAGCCAAGCATGGTTACCCCTGCAGATAACCCCAGTGTGTGGGTAGAAACAGGCCTATCATGAGAGTTGTGAGGTCCTCTTGAAAGTGATTAAGGAGGAGAGTGAGTTGACCAATCAATGACCCACACATCCATGGGTAGCACAAACTGAACCCAGTGGGTTGTGTGTGTGTGTGTGTGTGTGAGAGAGAGAGAGAGAGAGAAGAGGGAGGGAGGGAGGGAGGGAGAGTGAGTAAAGTTGGGAGGCAAAGAGGAAGGGAGTGGAACTGGGAGGAGCTGGGAAGGAGTTGAGGGTGATTTATGATCAAAATAGATTGTGTGATGAATGAAATCCTCAAAGAAAATAAAAATACTACATCTTTAAAAGATGGAAAATGATAAAGGAAGACATCCCATGTCCTCTGGCTTGCACATCAGGTGTTGTGAGAGTCCAAGTTACAGTTTAAGTTTTAATTACTATTCCTAAGAGATCCATGGAACAAAAATGCCTCTGATCTGCAAGCTCCTTGCCAAAGGACAGATAGTTCCTGAAATGTCGGGGCTATTATTTTTGGGAGATAACAAGCCACTTCTTTTTCATTCCCCTAAACAAATTTGTTTGGCCCATATGCACCTGATATGCTTGATCACACATGGGCTGGAGGTTCACAGGCTGGAGGTATTTCAGGATATATTCTTGCCCCTGATTGGACCTGATGGGAAATGCAATGAATTATGGGTTTTCCTTCTTAAGCACTTGCCATACTTAATTATGAACCATTTCCCAGGAACCTGGATATGGACCTGGCAAGAACCCATCCACCTGGTCAGTGTTTAATTAAAGCTTGCTTTAAGTTTGGCCTTAAACTGTGATAGTGGTTTTATTCTACCACTGGGATTAACAGTGTACACAACGCACACTCACAATTTTAAAAGTTTAAAAAGTGTACAGAAGAGGCTACACAGAGAAACCCTGTCTTGCAAAACAAAAGATTTATATAGTTGAGTAAGATCAAGCTGGGTAACCATGGCTGAAGGTGGATTTGATCCTGTGAATGCATTTGCTCTCATGAGCATTCGATGAGAAGACTGATATCCGCTTCGGCAGTCCCAGTCCTACTGCACAGACACAGAATGCCGCCGGGAGCTGCCGGGACCTTCCAGTGACAGTGACGTCAGCATTACTGTGATCCTGATGGCCTGGATGGTGATTGCAGTGCTCCTGTTCTTACTGAGGCCTCCTAATCTGAGAGGCTCCAGCCTCCCCGGGAAGCCGTCAAGTCCTCACAGTGGACAGGACCC